AAAGACTCAGCTCCCTGGAAGTCCTTTGATTTATGCTCAAGATAAGTCAGAAGATAATAGTGACCCCCAACGATGGGGACAGTGATCACATATTTGGTTTTCCTCCCAGGAGAATAATTTTGACGGATTCTGAAGGAGAAGGTAGTGATGCACACGCAAAACAGCATCTGAAACTACCCAAAAGAAGCAGGACCCATAGGAAGCTTCCTAGTGTTCCCACAAGTCAGAAGACAGAGGAGAGCCTATTCCTAATCAAAGTCTAAAAGTGTGGTCCAAGCATCTAATGAGCATAATTACAAGAGACTTAAAGCTTTCTCTGGAGTTATGCCGGTGCCAACCGGGGAAGAAGGATTTGCTCTGTGGAGAAGTAATGTAACCCAGGCATTAAAGGATTGGACTTGTACTGAAAAATCCAAGCGACTGAGGTTGATCGAAGGCCTGAGATCTTCTGCACTAGAATGAATAAAGTGTCTCCTACTACGCTTCCCGAATTCTCCTGATGACCATCTTTTAAAGGTTTTAGACCATACTTATGGTGAGGAAAGTGAAGAGGAAGAGCTCCGGTTACAATATGGTGCCATGGTTCAACCGGAGAAGGAAACCCTCACTTCCTATCTCATACAATTAGAATTAATGCTATGAAAGTTGTTTGAGAAAGAATGTTATTACATCAGATAAGTCTGATGAATATAGAAGGAGACAAGTTCTAAGAGGAACTCTACCAAATGATCCTGTAGCTACAGCTTTGGTCAACCTTCTATGTGCTAAGGGGTTGTTGGATTATGCTGAAACAATGAAAGAATCCAAAATAATACGGAAACAATTTGACCATATCCTAAAGCATCATGATTGCATAAAGAAATCATCATCACATGAAAATCAGAAAGCACCTAAGACTAACTTACCAACAGCCATATTAAACAGGGAAAAAAGTTCTCCGATCTCTCCTCAGCCAGGGAAGAAAAGAGAATTTAAATGTTTTAGCTGTAGGCAAGCAGGGCATGTCTCGAGCAAATGTCCCTTGAAGGATTTTCTTATTTCAGAGGGTTTAGTTGTTGATCCAGGCCCTACATGTGGCAGATCCTGGAAGAAGAGGCAGTTTTGGAAGGACTAGGAAGGGTTCTCCATCAGGCATACCCTGAAGGCCTGAGGCCAGTAGCATATATTATTCAGAGCTTTACTGGAAGTGAAAAGAACTACCCAGTACACAAGTTGGAGTTTCTTGCTCTGAAGTGGGCTATTGTGGACAAGTTGCATGATTATTTGTATGGTGCTCAGTTTGAAGTGAGGATGGACAATAACCCTCTTACCTACATCTTAACCACAGCTAAGTTGGATGCCACAGGACACCGGTGGCTAGCAGCACTATCCAACTATGATTTCTCTTTAAAATACAAGCCAAGCTCTAAAAATGTGGGAGCAGATGCTCTATCTAGGAGGCCAGGGTTGGCTATTACAAATGAAGATGGGAGTAGGTTGAGATTCCAGGCCATGAAGTCAGAGCCCTATGTCAAACGTCTATTGTGGAAGATGGATGGGTCAATTTTTCTGAGTTAAGATGTATTCATTCTCTTAGTTGTACCCCCAAGACAATTCCTGAAGCCATGTGTTTTCCAGTTACTATTCCAGAAAAGTCTGTTATCAGCCTAAGAAAAAAAAAACAAGCTCAAGACCCAGTAATTGGCCTTCTCATCAAAGCTGTGGAGAAAGAGGATTTCCAGTATATGAAGGATTTGCCTGTTGAACTATGTGACGAACTGGACCTTGTCATGGGTTCTTGGAGGGGCATACTTGCCAGCCTCTTACCCTGTGACTATGGCCCCTGTAATAAAACTTGGTTTAAATCACTGTTTGTGCCTTTTTGGACTTATGAAGCAGCACTTTGAATTCCCAAAGCAATTCGAAACGGCACTTCGAATTACTGAACAACCGCATGAACCAGAGACCACCCTAGAGCTTGTTAACACCTATTAACAACTTGGAATGTTTCTTACCGCAGTGTTCTAATTGTTCGTCTCGGTGGCCGCAATTCCTATGGACAACCATGAGGTGGCGGCCTGGTCGCATGAATGCAGGCAGCACTGTTTGTGCATGAATCTCATGAAACTGAAATTGGACACACAGTTTCTATTCAGCTTAGAAGGGCACTGTTCGGTGAGATCATTCATCGGGATGAAGGGAACAAGCTCCAGGGTAAGACTATTGACTATTGCAAACTACCGAACTAGACCGACCGCAAGCCCTAATTCTCTTGAACGGTTTTGGGCATGGGACCATGCCTGCGGTCGGTCAAATACATGACTTCCATAAAATTTCTGTACCCCTGAACTGATCTGGGTGATTTTTGGATATGTTGGTCACCCAGATCAGGGCTATGTGGGGATATTATGTGTTTTGGGGTACTTTTTGGAATTTATAGAAATGTGTTTTTCTGCCTGGAGATAATTGGGTTAATGCAGTATCTGATCCAATTATCTCCCAGGCAAAGGGGAGGGATTGTTTGCCTTGTGTGGGAGTGTCTTACATTATAAATGTGTTGTTATTGGTTTGGAAGTTTGTGTCCCTGTCCCCAATAAGGTCCATGTGGGCATATCCCTTCTTTGGGGACTTGGATAAAAGGCCAGTGTGGCAACCATTCCTGCTTAACCCTCATCACGTAGCGATTGTAGGGAATGGCTATATTGCTATACCAGTAGCTCTTGTAAGAGCTTCACAGCTATACGCTCTTGGAGGAGAGACCTTCCCACTGAGTCCCTGGATCCAGAAGTTTGGTCCAGGACAGGAAGCTGCGGCGATTTGTGGGGTCTACGGTGCTTATGATGTCCGCTGCTTATGGTCCTTAGCGTCAGCATTGATTGGTGGAGGTACCCAGTCGGGGTGCCAGGTGATCCGTGTCACACCCACATGGGGAATTTGCAGAGATGAGGGAACCCAGTTGCAGCGGAACAGCACCCCCTTACTATCACAACCCTCAGGAGCAGCTGGAAGTGGAGACAGGGTCCCAAAGGTGGCGTGGAGGCCTTTAATGGGAAGAAGCCAAATGAAGAATCCAAGGAAACAGGAGCAGGGGACATAGAAAGAAAACCACAGTCAGGCAGCAGACAGAAGTAGCCAATCAATCTGGAGTCAGGACAGGAAGCAGGCAGGAATAATCAACCGGAGAATCAAGAATTAGGAACCAGGTACATAGGCTGAAATATCAGGGCAATAGGCAGGTATATAAAGAAAGACAAAATAACCAAGCACTGACTGGAAGGTGTGCTTGGTTTAAATAGGTGGCTGGGATCACATGACTGGCCACCTCCCACCAGTAGGTGGAGCACACAGGATCTATATAAAGAGGTCTGGGACTCTGCACTGTAACGGATCGACTGGGTACCTCCGTTGACGCATGCTCCTAGTGCTTTCCGAAGGCTCCAAGCACTCCACTAGAAACCATAACCACCGCAGACCCCATGAACTGCCGCAGCTTGGTTGAGGTCTCGCCGTCTTCCACCCACTCTGGAACCAAGACCAGGATCCAGTTTCCAGTAGGTAGACCTCTCTTAATCCAGAGAGAAGGAAAAGGAACAGGACTAGGGGAGTATAGTGATTATACCAATCCCCCAAACATGAGCCAAAACTTCATGAAGGGTAGAACAAGTCTCAAGCTTTTGGCACAGGTTGGCTTATATACAATTCCTCAGGCCAGAGGCACACCCCCTGGACCTAATGGAGCACCGCATTACAAACTGTACAGACCAATAAGAACAGTATAACAATGTCCGACACTCCCACATACATTAAACAACCACTCCCCTCTGCCTGTGATATAATTAGGGTAGTTAATGCATAAACCTAATTATCCACAGGCAGAAAAAACACACATTTATACAAAGTCTAGAAAACACCCCAAAACATAACATATCCCCATAAGCTCTGATCTGGGTAAACAACATATCCGAAAATCACCCAGATCAGATCAGGGGTTCAGAAATTTTATAGAAGTCATATTTTTGCCTAGGCGAACCCAGGATTTCATGCCCAAAACAGTTCCATAGATTTGCGGCTAAGTCCCCCTTAAGTCTATTCACGGTTTTAGCCCATGCGAACAAGATGGCCGCCACCACGTGATCGAATGGCGGCCACTTCGGGTGTTCGAAAAAAAAAAAAATGTTTAAAGTCCTAATAGGCACAATTAGGGTCTCTCAGCCAAAATAAATTAAAGGGGCCATAGTCACAGGGTAAAAGGCTGGCAAGTAGTCCTCTCCAAAACCCAGTGGCGGCGTGGCTTTCGCCACAGGCACTAAGATTATTGTAGCTGTTCTTTGCTTTAGTCCCTTGAGCCCGGGTTACGACCTGGTTGAAGTAGCTCTCCATGGGCCCCTGGTCGTTCCTCAATAACACATTCACAGGAAGGCATGGCAACACTCCCACCTCCCTGTATCCACATCCAGCCCCCCACACGGGCCATAGAAATAGCAAGTCGCCCTCCACCAGAAACGGCAATCGCAGGACACCTCACAACAAATGAGGCTTAACAATAGTCAAGCATGCCCTGGTGTCCTTCTGCAGGAATGCCATTTACCAGCACTCGCTGGTGGTGGTTTAGGTCATCTCTGGGCCACTGCATGGTCAGTCCCGGCGTCACTCCCAAGGATCAGTCCCGGCGTCACTCCCAAGGATCACACCTCTGCTGTCCCAACATATTCCTCAGAACCCTACCATCTGGACCGGTGGAGCCGGGTGATTATGTCCATGGGCCCGGGAGGGACAGTCTCTCACAAAATGCCCCTGGCACCCATGACAAACAGGCTAGTGCTTTGCCTCAGGACTCTTTGTGGGCCCAGTTGACCATGGCATTGGCCTCCAACCGGGAACACCACTGGGGTACATAGCCCGGTCTGGCTGTGGGACATTCCTGGATTCCACAGTTTGAGCAAGGGCTGCTACCACTGTCCGTGGCGTCGGCACAAGCACAGGTGCTGTAGGATTATGTCCCGGAAGAGCAATGCTGGGGACTCCTTCACGAGTCTCACGGAAGTGCTGGGCTAACTTCGCGGCTGCAGTGGGCTTCTGGTCCTGGGTCCACTGTCGCACCTCCACCAGCAAGAGGTGGTAAAATTGCTCCAGCAGCACAATCTGCTTACAGTCCTCCTGGGAGTGCACCATCCCTCAAGGGCATGTGTCAACCTCCAGACACACTCTTGGAAGGTGCCTTCTGGAGTCGGCTGGATCTCCCGGAAGTTTACCATGTAGGATTCTGGGGTGACAGAGTACCTGTCCAGCACAGCTCGCTTCATGACCTGGCAGTCCCCCTATTTCTCTCTTGGAATCGCTCTGCAGGCCTCCAGAGTTCGTCCCGTCAGTCTCCCATCCAGTACCCTCACCCAGTCATCTGGCGGCAAGCGATTGAGCTCACATTGCCGCTCAAAGTCCTGCAGGAGCCCATCTATATCATCCTTCTTATCAAACATAGAAAAGCCGTGCACTGATACTTTGAGATGGGGACCCTCTGGCTAGATGGGGAAACATATGGCTGCAGTCACATTCACCTGGTGATCACGATACTCGTGGGCTAGGTCCTCTACTGCGATTTCTATCAGCTCCCTCAGGTTTACTTGGCCGCCTGTGGCATCCCAGAAGTGCTGCATTCTCTGGGCCAGTCTGATTGCTCGGGTTGACATTCCAGGAGCGATGCTGGGAGCCACTTTTTGTGGTTCAGACACTCCATTCTGCTGCTCAGCCATGTTGCATCCCTCAGCAGCGCTCTGGTGTACATCTCCGGTCAACTTTAGCCTCTTCAGATCACTGTACTGCAAGTTATCCCACAGCTACCACCAGTTTGTGACGATACAGACTAATATTGTCCGTGGGTACTTCCATTAACTTGCACAGCTGATCACTATACTAAGCGTTATGACCTGGGATTGGAGTTCCTTTATCCACCAGCATTCACATTAAATGAGATCTTGGATAGTTATAGCAAGGAAAAAGACAACTAGCTAATTTCTTGGTACAAACAGTATCAACCTTTTTTTTTTTTTTTTAAACAGCCTGTGATGGACCGTTTGGCAGTCAAATCGATGCTCCTTGTGCTCACAGAGGACTCCAAGCATTCCAGACATCATAAACACCGTAGACCCCACGAACCGCCGCAGCTTGGTTGGGGTCTCGCGGTCCTCCTGTCATGCTTCTGATCAGGTCAGAGATGAGACTGAAACTAGGGTTAATTTCAGGGTCCTTTTTTAAAAATTTATATCTTAGACATGATTTGTCTTGAAAACCATAAAAATAGCAGGACTTTTAGGAAGAGAGAATAAAATAGAAAAGGGAGAAATAGAAGAATCAATTTATGTAGTTAAGGTAAGTGTAGTGTACTAAGAAATTTAGATAATAAGCCCGAGATGGAAGTAACAGGTAGTAGGTAGAAACAGAACCTATGAGATTTATAGGTAGGAACAAGAATGAGAACCTATCAGTGAGAGGTAACAGGAGATTTCCCGAAATAAAAGGTTTAGACAATATGGCAGGATTTATAGTAACAGGAATAATAAAAGTTAAAATAAACAGGACAATCCAGGATTGAGTGCCAGACTTACTATCTTTTTGGTTTACATGGGGTTACTGTTTTACTCGGAAGACTTCGCATAGTGTTTAAACACCAGTAGTTAATTTTTTTATAACACAAACAGCACAGAGATACCGTTACTGTTTTGAAAGCTAGTGGGTAACAGCCCTGGGTGTTTCTCAAAAGTTACAGAGAAATATAAGCGTCCATTGGTTATGTGAGACCCTATGGTGCTTCTGCATTCAATGGTAGGTCAGAGATGGCCAAAAGGTAAGACTGAATCACCCTCAGGGTTAATCCTCACTCAGGTACCTTTCCATAACCCCCATTCATTTTTCAAATAATTTCACCATACCTCCACTTATCACTCCATACCATGTCAACCTTCTCCATCTTACTATAATCACTCCATTGCCACCATTACCATGTCCTCCCATCAATGCCATGTTGCCTCCTCCCAGGACTCTCCATTAGGAAGCATGTTATCCTCCATCACTATTAAGTCATAAAATAGAAAAGGTTGTAGAAATAGAAGCCAATCAGCATTATATGTTACTGTTAAGGTAAGCTGTAGTGTACTAAAAGAAATTTAGATAATAAGCCCAGAGATGGAAGTAACAGGTAGTCCCCAGGTAGACCACACAGAACTCTATGAGATTTATAGGTACTGGACAGGCCAAGAATGCACGAACATAGCTATCAGTTGAGTCAGGTAATCTCCAGGAGATATTCCCGAATATAAAATCTGGGGTATTAGACAATATGGTCAGGATTTATAGTAACAGCTGAATAATAAAAGTTAAAATAAAGTTTAAAACAGTTTAAAATAAAATATATATACACATACACATACCCTGTAGTATATATATATTAATATCAAAATACATAGAATGATATTGATTGAATATATATATAATATAAAATAAATAAATATGTAAATACGTTAAAATATAAAAAAATAATAAAAAATATATATTTAAAATATATATATGTGTACTTTCGTTCTAACTGTATTTTGATAATATATATATATATATTGATATCAAAATAAACGTAGAACGAAAAAATATATATATATATCTATATATAAATAAAAATAATTTTAATCATCTTGATAAAGACCTGTTTGGTCGAAACGTTGATCCACATTGGCAACATTTTGAATACACTATTTTGACTTGGAAATCCATTGGGTGCGCCGAGCAGCACCTTGGTGGAAGTTTTTTTTGTTTTTGTTTATTTCTTCAGGATTGAGTGCCAGACTTACTATCTTTTTGGTTGTACATGGGGTTACTGTTTTACTCGGAAGACTTCGCTGAACAAAAATAGTGTTTCAAAACAGTAAAACATATCACAGCGACGATATAGTCAGTAAAAGTTATATTTTTTTGCATTTTTCACACACAAACAGCACTTACACTGACGATATAATTGTTGTGATATACGTTTTACTGTTTTGAAACACAAATATTTGTGTTCGGTGAAGTCTCCGAGTATAACAGTACCCCTCATGTACAGGTTTTATGGTGTTTTCAAAAGTTACAGAGTTAAATATAAGGCTTGTGTTTTCAGTTTTTTTACATTGAAATTCGCCAGGTTGGTTATGTTGCCTTTGAGACCCTATGGTAGCCCAGGAATGGAAATTACCCCCATTATGGCATACCATTTGCAATGGTAGACAACCCAAACTATTGCAAGTGGAGTATGTCCTGTCTTTTTTAGTAGCCACTTAGTCACAACCACTGGCCAAAATTGGCATTCAAATTATGTCATACCTCCTCTCCATCACTCCATTACCCTGTCATACCTTCTCTCCATCACTCCATTACCATGTCATACCTCCTCTCCCTCACTCCATTACAATGCCTCCTCTCCATCACTCCATTGCCATGTCATACCTCCTCTCCATAACCCCATTGCCATGTCATGCTTCCTCTCAATTTCTCCATCCTCTCCATCACTCCATCACCATACCTCCACTTCATCACTCCATTACCATGTCATACCTCCTCTCCATCTCCATTACACTCTCTATCACTCCATTGCCATGTTATACCTCCTTTCCATCACGCCATTACCATGCCTCCTCTCCATCACTCCATTGCCATGTCATACCTCCTCACCATCACTCCATTGCCATGCCATGCCTCCTACCATCACTCCATTACCATGCCATACCTCTTCTCCATCACTCCATCACCCCATTGCCATGTCATACCTCCTCTCCATCACTCCATTACCATGTCATACCTCCTCATTCCATCACTCCATTACCATGTCATACCTCCATCTCCATTACAATGTCTGTAGCAGAGCTCCCTGTATCCCGGCTGGGTACCTCTGCCAAGGATGTCATACCTCCTCTCGTGGCTTGACTTGGCCCTGGAACCACTCCTCCTGGAGACGGATGGGGAATTAGCTCTAGTCACCCCAGGCACTAGATGACACTCAGTCCTGGGATCTACTCCTTACATGGATTTTCCATTGAATCCCCTGCAAGCTCCGTAAATCTTCTTTCCCTCTTAACAGGACGACACACATGTGACGGACTGCCCGGCATCAATCGATGCTCCTAGTGCTCACTGAGGGCTCCAAGCACTCCACCAGACACCATAAGCACTGTAGGCTCCACGAACCGCCGCAGCTTGGTTGGGGTCTCGCCGTCCTCCACCCACCCTGGACCCAAGACCAGGATCCAGCACCCAGTGGGCAGACCTGTCCTACTCCAGAGAGCGTAGCCGGAACAACTCTTAGAAGAGCTAGTGATTATACTCAGGGGAGTATAGTGATTATGGCAACCTTTTTTCCATCACCATATCATGCCTCCTCTCCCACATTCACATATACCATGTAATACCTCCTTACCATCACTCCATTCACGATGTCACTACCTCCTACTTCATCTCTCCATTACCATGTCATACCTCTGTCTGTCACTCCATTACAGCCCACAGGGCGCCAATGTACAATACACCCAGACACTGATTACTGAACACAATGGGTAATCTCATTATCACCGGCAGAGGAATACAGTTTCATAAAACACATCACAGGGACCCCAAAACATGCAATAACCCCATAAAAAGTATATCCTTGCAACTGGGGGATCTGGGTGAACCACATATCCAAAATTCACCCAGATCCGTTCAGTACTTTGGAAAATACAGTTTAATGCAGATTCTGCAGAACAAATACAGGCTAAATAAAAAACAATCACTGTATAATGTGTCCCCTGCTGTATAGTCCAAAACCACCGCAGGATGTCTCTGTGCAACAAATACTGGCGAGATGGCACCGTGTTGAAAAGTCCCAGTGTCTGTGAGTTAATCACCACTTCATCCATTGTTCTCCATGTGCCTCTACTCCATTATCGTGCACAACACAAATCATTATGCCCAAATCATGTCTTTAAAGGGCAATACATCCCAGGGGCCATAGTCACATGGCAGGAGGCTGGCAACCAGGCTTCTCCAGTGCATAGTGGCGAGGTTGGTTCCGCCACAACAACATATCCCCATAAAAGTCACATCCCCTGATAGCCCTGATCTGGGTGAACAACATATCAAGATCAGCCAGATCAGAGCAGGGGTTCAGGAAATTCCAGGAAGTCCTATTTTTGACCCACCGTGCACATGGTCCCGTGCCCAAAACAGTTGCAGAGAATTAGGGCCCATAGTCCTGAGGCAAAAGGCTGGCCAGCAGGCCCCTCCAAGAACCCTTGACGAGGTTCAGTTTGTCACAGGGCCATAATCACAGGGGAGGAGGCTGGCAAAACAGGCCCCTCCAAAAGCCAGTGACGAGGTTACTTTCGTCACAGTTTGCAAACGAACACACTACACATGGTCCTATGCCCAAAACAGTTCCATGAAATCAGTGCTAACGGTCGGTCAAGTTTGGTAGTCTTTTACAGGTTTCACTGCAGGGCCCATAGTCTGTGGGAAGCAGGCTGGCACGCAGGCTCCTCCAGGTGCTTGTGGAAACTCACTTGGAGAGGGAAGTTTGTCACATATCTTCCCCCTCCCGGGGATACTACCCAGACCCCAGACCTCCAATCGGTCTGGGTCTGTGATACACTGCCGTCTGTGATAGTCTGGTGGCCTTTCCCAAAAGTTGCCCAGACAGCCTCCTGTCACAAGTGCCCATTTGTACATCCAGTGTCCTTTGGGGAAACAACCTGGATGCACTTCCCCCTGGTTGGACCAAGTACTCGCTGGGGATGGAGAATGCAGTTTCCCTCATGCATGCCTGGTGGGCAGAGGCCAGCGCTCTGTCCTGTAGCCAGTGGTCCAGCTGGGTTGGTTGTTGTCGTGTCAGGTGCCAGAACAAAGGTAGGTAGTGCAGAGGCCAGCTGTGCTCTGCCCAGATGCCAGCTCTTCTGCTGGAAGGAGGTCAGTAGAGGCCTTCGTTCCCTCTCCTGCACCAGGACCATGGTTGGGCCAGCATTCCTGTCGGGTTAGTGCAGAGACCTCGGTCCCATCTGCACTATCCAGAGACCTCGGTCCCATCTGCACCAGGGGGCTAGTCCCAGGATGACTGCTGGGTAGGGGGGACCGATCGTCCTCTCCCCAGGTGTCTCTGGCGGACACTGGGAGGGAGACCGACTGTCTCCATACCCTTTAACACACACTGCCGCAGGGGAGAGAGACACTACCGGTGGGGAGGTGTAACGGAGTCTTACCTGATAGGGAGTCCAGCTCGCAGAGTTATACGCTCACCCTTGCAAAGTAGACACAGACCAGGGTGACCAGGTAAGATGCCACCTGGCCTGTGAGTCTGTGCACGGGGGCTTTCCAGGAAAAGTGCTCCAAGTCTCAGTACAACAGGGATAAGCAGAAGCGTGGTCAAGGGAAGCCAAAATCAGGGAAGCCAGAGGTCAGAGTAGTCCAGGAGGAAAGCCAAGGTCAGAAGCCGGAATTAGACAAGAATCACTGGAACGCAGGTACAGAGTAACAGGAACCAAACAAGGGAACCAGAGTCAATGAACTGACCAATGGAGTCCGCAGAGTTATACAAATTACTCACCTCCCTGGCCGTGCAAGTCTCCAACCTGTCCCAGAATGTTACGGATTTGCAGAGACATTCATTGGCATTTAAAGGAGCAACGCTTCCAGTCCCGGAACATGTATGCCCAGAACCGTATGTCTTTATGCCTGACAGGTTCGACGGTCCCCGTTCTGCTTTTCCGATGTTCAAGACGGATTGTGAGCTACTATTTGCCCTGAAATCGAGAACCTACGCCACTGACTTTATCAAAGTACGCTCCGCTATTAACCTATGTACCGGGCGGATTAAGGCGTGGGCACACCAGAAGTTGCAGGAGAGAAGTACTGTCTTGGACTCCTGGGAGTTGTTTATGTCCGCAATGGATTCTCAGTGGTTTGCAGCGAGAAAAGCAACTTCCAAGCCTACTTCAGGTTCTCGCAGAACCCGGTTGCCGAGAGAAGAGGAATTGTTTTATGGATACAAAAATCCCATCATGTTGCAGCATGAACCCACTTTCAGGGACCCGCCTTGTAACCCTGTTTACACTCGCGCTAGCAGTGAAACGCCAGTCGACATGGAGGAACCCATGGAGATTGGCTTCACCAGAACTAGGAGAGCCCATGGTCTATGTCTATACTGTGGGAAAAGAGGGCATTTCATATCGCTCTGCCTGACTCGTCCACCTAGGCCAAGACCCCTTCTGTCTGGTGCCATATGGACTTACCCTGTCATCCCAGCAAGACAGCCTGGGCACTGCCAGCCCTGTCCCCGTCCTGTGACACAAAATCCAGTCTGCCAGACGTGGTCGCTCCGGAAGCGCCCGATAGGGGATTTGAACTGTGGTTCTTCTGGGCCGTATCCTGCTATTTTCCCTCTGAGCCATTTCAGGACTCTGGATAACTCCTGTTTATTCTTGTATTGCCTGCAGCACTAGGGGGCTGGACTTCACCAAAGGCTCAGATCTGTCAGTAACTCTCCAGCTGAATCAGATACCTAATTAACAAGGTATAAAAGCCTGCCTCACCCTGGGAGGGGTGTCAGTTCATTGACTCTGGTTCCCTTGTTTGGTTCCTGTTACTCTGTACCTGCGTTCCAGTGATTCTTGTCTAATTCCGGCTTCTGACCTTGGCTTTCCTCCTGGACTACTCTGACCTCTGGCTTCCCTGATTTTGGCTTCCCTTGACCACGCTTCTGCTTATCCCTGCTGTACTGAGTCTTGGAGCACTTTTCCTGGAAAGCCCCCGTGCACAGACTCACAGGCCAGGTGGCGTCTTACCTGGTCACCCTGGACTGTGTCTACTTTGCAAGGGTGAGCGTATAACTCTGCGAGCTGGACTCCCTATCAGGTAAGACTCCGTTACAGATGAACTGACCTGGTCACCCTGCTCTGTGTCTACTTTGCAAGGGTGAGCGCATAACTCTGCGAGCTGGACTCCCTATCAGGTAAGACTCCGTTACAGGAGGAGGGCTGACACACTTCTCTCCCTGGGATATATACCCCTGCTGGTGAGTAAGACCAGTTGTCCCCACTCCTTGTAACACAATTGGCCTCTGGGGACAGAGACCGCTCGTCTCCTCTCCCAATAATACACTCGGCCACTGAGAAGGAGGGACGACACTCTTCACTCTCTGTACTGCACACTTCTGCTGGGAAGTGGGACCGATTGTTTCCACTCCCTGTAGGATACACTGCCGCTGGGGAGTGAGACCGGTTGTCTCCACTCCCTGTAACACACTCTGCCGCTGGGGAGGAAGGACGACACACTCCACTCCCTATACTGCACACTGCTGTTGGGGAGTGGGACCAATTGTCTCCACTCCCTGTAGGATACACTGCCGCTGGGGAGTGAGACCGGTTGTCTCCACTTCCTGTGACACACTGTGGCGCTGGGGAGAGAGACTGACCGTCTCCTCTCCCAATAATACACTCTGCCGTGAGGACGAGGGACGACACACTTCTCTTCATGGAATATACACTGCTGATGGGGAGTGAGACCGACCATCTGTAGGATGCACTGCTGCTGGGGAGTGAGACCAGTTGTCTCCATTCCTTGTAACACACACTGCCGCTGGGGAGAGAGACCAACCATCTCCTCTCCCAATAATATACTCTGCCGCTGGGGAGGAAAGACGACACACTTCTCTCCCTGTAACTCGCCCTGCCGCTGGGGAGTGAGACCGACTGTCTCCACTCCCGGTAACTCACTCTGCCGCTGGGTATAGAGAACAATACTCTCCTCTCCCTATAACTCTGTCTGCCTTTGGGGAGAGAGTCCGACCATCTCCTCTCCCAATAACACACTCTGCCGCTGGGGAGGAAGGATGACCTCCATCTGGGGTTGGAGATCTGGGCCGGCTGCCCAGCATCCCTGTAGGTACCTCGGTCCCATCTCCATCTGCCAACTTGAGGTCTTCCCAGGACCAGTTATCTCTGGGGCTGGTTGGGAAGTAGGTGGTAGAGTACCCAGGTCTCCTGATGACAGGCTTAGTTGCTGGGGAGGAGGGAAAGAACTCAATGCTCCCGGTGGTATACAGCCCATAAGCCACATCATGTCAGAGACAGGCTGCGTTACTCTGCTAAATAGGTGAGCATAGTCCTGCTCAAGCTCCCATTCCAGGTTAGCCAGAAAAATCAGATCCAGTTGCATTTCCCCTAACCACTTAAAGCCCAAGCTGTCTTCCCGCTCATCTAGAATGTACCAGAAGCGGGAACTGTCCGGGTCTCCAAATGCCATACCATTATAAAACTCCTCCCATAGCAGACCAGGGCCATTGTAGAAGCATTTGTGCTCGACCAGCAATGGGTAGCTGCCGACCGCATGAAACTGCGGTATGATTCGTCCAACCACACCTCCCTCGTGACCAGCGCCTCCAGTTCCATTACCCATCCATTCCAGGGCTGTTCTCCCAGGAACTGCATCCATAACTTCAGTTGTTCCCATTGGCGCTGGTACGTGGTCGGAAGGGAGTCTCTCTGGAAAGATTGAATCTCTTCAAGGTCTGCCCTCCAGAGGTCAGTTCGGAGCACCACCCTCCATTCTGATACACTCCTGGCAGGCATAGGGTCATCATTACTCCTCAGGACATCCAGGAACAGCTGCAGGAGTCTTCTATCAAAGTGGGATACTGCACAGCCTTCCATACTGCAGTAGTGCTGGTTTTCCCAAGGCTTGGAAGCCATCCCACAGCTACCACCAATTGTAACAGAGCTCCCTGTACCCCAGCTGGGTACCTCCACCAAGGACCTCTTCCTAGCTGGAGCAGGGGACAAACCGCAGCACTGCTGCCCACAGTCTCTGTGGTTTGATTGGGGCTCTGGAACTGCTCCTTCCTGGGGCCAAATGGGGAATTAGCTCTAGACACCCCAAGGCACTGGACGACACAGTCCTGGGAGCTCTAGTCCTTACAAGGACTTTCTCCGTTGAATCTCCTGCAAGCTGGAACAGCAGACACAGGAGTAAATCTTCTCTCCCTCCAATAACAGGATGACACACAGTTTTGGAGTGTAAGGTGGAATAGCATTTTAATGGAGGCACACGGGCCTTTTATGCAAGTTTCCCAACAAGTGTGACACCCAGGTGGACCTTGTTGGGACACAAAGTGAATAAACCAATAAAAACACAGTCATACAGTGAGACATTCCCATGCACAAACAATTCAATCCCTCCTCTGTGCTTGGGAGATAATTGAATCAGGAACTGTACTAATCTAACCCAATTATCTCCAAGCACAAAAAAACAAACAATATTATGAAACCCCCAAATTACCTTAAAAATGCATAAAACCCCATAAATACATGTTGCATCCCTTGATAGCCCCGATCTGGGTGAACAACATATCCAAAAATCACCCAGATTGGTTCAGGGGTTCAAGACTTTCCTGGAAGTCATAGTTTTGACCGACCGTGCACATGGTCCTATGCCCAAAACCATTCCAGGGAAATCAGTTTGGTAGTCTTTTACAGGTTTCCCTACCTGGCCCATAGTTTTTGGGCAGGAGGCTGGCAAGCAGGCTTCTCCAGGAGCTTGTGGCAAACTCTGGTAAAAAGGGAAGTTTGCTACAATGTCATACCTCCTCCCCATCACTCCATTACCATGTCATACCTCCTCTCTATCACTCCATTACCATGTCATACCTCCTGTCCATCACTCCATTACCATACCTACTCTCCATCACTCCATTACTATGTCATACCTCCTCTTCATCAATCCATTACCATGTCATACCTCTTCTCCATCACTCCATTACCATGATATGCCTCCTCTTCATCAATCCATTACCATGTCATACCTCTTCTCCATTACTCCATTACCATGTCATATCTCCTTTATTTCACTCCATTACCATGGCATACCTCCTCTCCATCACAATGTCATATCTCCTCTCCATCACTCCATTACCATTATATGCCTCCTCTCCATCACTCCATTACCATGATATGTCTCCTCTCTATCACCCCATCACCATACTTCCTCATCATTACCATGTTTTTATTTATTAATCACCCATTTGTCTTGTCCTTGAACCTTTCCTTTCTTGTCTCCCACAATCTATTTTACTTTTACTCTGTCCTTCCTTTAACAAACATTAATTAACCTTTCCATGAATCCTGTTCCTTTTTGTATCACCTTAATACCCTTTGCTTGCTCCCTTTCTTCCACTATGCATTATTCTATTTTCTTCCTTCGATCACTCTTTCTTCCCTTCTCTATCATTTTCTTTCCTTCCATCACCTTTTCCTAATTTCCATTTCCATCATAATCTTTACTTCCTCCCATCACTGTTGTTCATTAACCTTGTTTCTTTCTGCAATTTCCTCAATTGTTTTATGCCCATTACCCTCTTTTCTTTCTTCCAACACCCTCACTATCCTCTCCATTACCATTTTTCACTGTACATCTCTCTCATCCATAACCCTTACTTCCCTTTCTGTAATGTAATTCCTTTTATCTACATCTTTACTATTCTTAACCACCATCTATTTCCACTGCATTACACCAACCACTGCTTCCCTTGATTACATTTTCCATGGTAATCACCTCATTTCCTACTTACCATTAACCACGTGTCCTTTTTTGTACCTTCTCCTGTCCATTTCTTATTACCATATTCCCAGGTCGGGATCCACTCAGTTGCTATGGACACAAACACAGCACCAAGAAACGACGCAAGTCTCGAACAGCTTTCACCAACCACCAAATCTATGAGTTGGAGAAACGTTTCCTGTACCAGAAGTACCTCTCACCTGCTGACAGGGATCACATTGCTCAGCAACTGGGCCTTAGCAATTCTCAAGTCATTACATGGTTTCAGAATCGTCGTGCAAAACTCAAAAGAGACATAGAAGAAATGAAGGCAGATGTTGAATCACTAAAGAAGCTGCCACCACATGCCCTTGATAAACTGACATCATTGCCTGAGGTGGAGGTGATGGAGGAGGAGGAGGATGTGGTGAGAGGATATTCCCCTATTTCACAGCGCATCTACCTTCAATCACCTCACTGTTCATCCATTGAGCACACAGTTGATGAATTCTCAGATAATGTGGAGATTGAGGTGGATGACTAGAGACTGAAAGGAAAATGGACAGGTTGTAGGGGAAAGGGTCTAGTGCTCTTTTGGTCTTAGTCAAGATGCAGGTTATTGACTGAGTGAGATATTCAGCTGATCTGATGGCAGGTAACTGAACAGCAATGGCCACTGAACCATCTCTGACACAACACATTTTCTATCACTGCATCCAACCAACAATGTGTCAATACTGCACAAGGCAGATTCTAAGCAAAGGGGGATATTCAAAGACCTCTGTCTGTATTTAACATCAGGTTCGTAATTAATAGGCACTAATCAATCATGAACAGGGGTAATTGATTATTCATTATTATTTACTGAACAAAACATTCAGTGGACCCTATCACTGCACCCAGCCAGCAACACGTCAGTACTACATGGACATGTCCTATCACTGCATCCAACCAATAATGTGTTACTTACTCAATGTACATCTCCTGTTGCTGCATCCAACCAACAATGTGTCAATACTCCATGGACATCTCCAATCACTGCATCCAACCAACAATGTGTCAATACTCCATGGACATCCCCTATCACTTCATCCAACCAACAATGTGTCAATACTCCATTGACATCTTCTATCCCTGCATCCAACCAACAATGTATCAATACTCCATGGACATCCCCTATCACTGCATCCAACCAACAATGTGTCAATACTCCATGGACATCTTCTATTCCTGCATCCAACCAATAATGTGTCAATAGTCAACTGACATCCCTTATCACTGCATCTAACCAACACTGTATCAATTACTGTATGGATATCTCCTATCACTGCATCCAACAAGAAATCTGTCAATTCTCCATGGACATCTCCTAACACTGAATCCAACCAACAATGTGTCAATACTCCATGGACATCTTCTATCCCTGCATCCAGCCAACAATGTGTCAATACTCCATTGACATCTTCTATCACTGCATCCAACCAACAATGTGTCAGTTACTCCATGGATATCTCCTATCACTGCATCCAACAAACAATCTGTCAATACTCCATTGACATCTCCTAACACTGCATCCAACCAACAATTTATCAATACTCCATGGACATCTATCACTGCATCCAACCAACAATTTATCAATACTCCATGGACATCTCCTAACACTGAATACATCCAACAATGTATCAATACTCCATGGATATCTTCTATCCTTGCATCCAACCAAGCATGTATCAATACTCCATGGACATTCCCTATCACTGCATCCAGCCAACAATGTATCAATACTCCACTGACATCTTCTATCACTGCATCTAAGCAACAACGTGTCAGTTACTGCATGGATATCTCATATCACTGCATTCAACCAACAATGTGTCAGTTGCTCAATGGATATCTCCTATCACTGCATCCAACCAACAATGTGTCAATACTCCATGGACATCTCTTATCACTGCATCCAACCAACAATTTATCAATACTCCATGGACATCTATCACTGCATCCAACCAACAATTTATCAATACTCCATGGACATCTATCACTGCATCCAACCAACAATGTGTCAATACTCCATGGACATCTCCTATCACTGCATCAAACCAACAATGTATACTCCACGGACATCTTCTATCACTGCATCCAACCAACAATGTGTCAATACTATGTGGACATCTCCTATCACTGCATCTAACCAACAATTTATCAATACTCCATGGACATCTATCACTGCATCCAACCAACAATTTATCAATACTCCATGGACATCTATCACTGCATCCAACCAACAATGTGTTAATATTCCGTGGACATATTCCAACACTGCATCCAACCAACAATGTGTCAATACTCCATGGACATCTCCTATCACTGCATCAAACCAACAATGTATACTCCACGGACATCTTCTATCACTGCATCCAACCAACAATGTGTCAATACTATGTGGACATCTCCTATCACTGCATCTAACCAACAATGGACATCTTCTATCCCTGCATCCAACCAACAATGTATAAATACTCCGTGGACATCTCCTAATCACTGCATCCAGCCAACAGTGTGTCGATACTCCATGGACATCTTCTATCCCTGCATCCAACCAACAATGTATAAATACTCCGTGGACATCTCCTAATCACTGCATCCAGCCAACAGTGTGTCGATACTCCATGGACATCTCCTATCACTGCATCCAACCAATAATCTGTCAATACTCCATGGACATCTCCTAACACTGAATCCATCCAACAATGTGTCAATACTCTATGGACATCTCATATCACTGAATCCAAACAACAATGTGGCAGTTACTGCATGGACATCTCCTATCACTGCATCCCACCAACAATATTTAAATACTCCATGGACATCTCCTATCACTGCATCCAACCAACAATGTGTAAATACTCCATGGACATCCCCTAACACTGAATCCATCCAACAATGTGTCAATACTCCATTGACATCTTCTATCACTGCATGCAAACAACAATGTGGCAGTTACTTATGGACATCTCCTATCACTGCATTTAACCAACAATGTCTCCATACTCCATGGACATCTCCTGTCACTGCATCCCACCAAAAATGTGTCAATACTCCATGTATATCTCCTATTACTGCATCTAACCAACAATGTATTAATACTCCATGGACATCTCCTATCACTGCATCCAAACAACAATGTGTCAATACTCCATGGACATCTCCTATCACTGCATCCAAACAACAATATGTAAATTCTCCATGGACATCTCCTATCACTGCATCCAAACAACAATATGTCAATACTCCATGGACATCTATCACTGCATCCAACAAACAACGTGTCAATACTGTATGGCCATCTTCTATTACTGCATCCAGCCAACAATGTGTCAGTACTCTATGGCTATCTCCTATCACTGCATACAACCAGCATTCTCATAAGGAAACATAGCAGTGGAAAAGAAGGTGAGAGGTAGGCGGCGCCAGTGAATAAGTACTAAAAACAGATAAAACAAATGTATAATACAGAAAAATAGAAAAAATAAAATATAAATAAATAAAGTTAAAAAAAGAGTTCCAGAGGTAGAGTTCAGGAAAGCCTTTTGAATACTGGATGTTAAAGCCAATGATAATTCTAAGGAGGTGAAGCCGCTCTATGAAGTAAGGATGTTCTTAAAGTCCGTATGTGGAGATAAATGAAACAACTAATGGTGCAATATATTCAACAATCAGGTAGCAGCAGGTAAAAAGTCTGATATGATTCTCCTCACATTTTTAAGAGCTAAGGAACTAGCTCTAGTATGAAGTGCATACAGTGGTCCCCACTTGTAGGATACGTGAGATAATGCCTTGTCTGAAGGAGGGTCATACAAAATATAAAAGGAACAGCAATAGTGCTCTCTATTTAAAAATCAGGAGTACGGAAATAAAATATAAAGTGGTTATTCACATTTACATGAGCAGGCGGACTGCTCAATGTATAGGGCTTGAGTCAGGGATGTGTTTACCACAAGGCAAACAAGGCATTTGCCTAGGGCGGCACTTTCGGGGGGGGCGTCAAAAAATGCCACCCCAAGCTCCCAGACAAATGCCTTCTTTGCTCGTGTTCTGGGGCTGTCCACCTTACTGTGAGTGAGTGAGTTTAGCTGTCAGTGTGTGTCTGTGAGTGAGAATAGGTGTGCCTGTGAGTGTGTGTCAGTGTGTGTATGTCATTTTATGTGTATCTGAGAGTGTGTGCCTGTCATTGAGTGGGTGTGGGTGTGTTGGTTAAACAGTGTGTGCCAATGACTGTATGTGTGTGCCGATGACTGTGTATCTGTCAGTGAGTGTATATCAGTGCATGTATCAATGTGTCTGTCAGTCAAAAAAATGGCCGAAATGGGGGGCTAATTAAGATTTTGGGGGTGCCCGAATTTAATCGTGCCTAGGGCAGCACAAATCCAAAATACACCACTGGCTTGAGTGGTATAATCCCCACCTTGGATTCTTTGGAATAATGTCTCACTAGTACAGGATAAAAAACTCAGAAGCAAGGTAAAAAAATATTAAAATAAGATTTAAAAAAAGGAAAATGGCAACTCACAAAAAAGAAGTGGCCAAAATACATTTAATAAAATATAATACAGTTATTAAAATGTCCACAATGCGTTTCGCTTTATCAAGTGGACATGCAAAGAACATAACCTGGCAATTGCGATATTAATATTTATATTTAGGTTAATTTGGGGAAAACCTCTAATACCTGCACCATTCTGTAACTGAGTGCCAGCACCATCAATATTGATTTTTGGGTTTTCTAATGGGAGTAAGAGTTTGTGTAATTAAAATATGGCGCCAAAATGACATCATAATTACATACAGGTGATACTCGAAAAATTAGAATATCGTGCAAAAGTTCATTTATTTCAGCAATGCAATGTAAAAGGGGAAACTGATATATGAGATAGACACATTACGTGCAAAGCAAGATAGTTCAAACCGTGATTTGTCATAAGTGCGATGATTATGGCTTACAGCTCATGAAAACCCCAAATCCACAATCTCAGTAAATTAGAATATTACATGCGATCAATAAAACAAGGAGTGTACATAGAACAATATCGGACCTCTGAAAAGTATAAGCACGCATATGGACTCACTACTTGGTTTGGGCCCCTTTTGCAGTAATTACTGCCTCAATGTGGCGTGGCATGGAAGCTATCAGCCTGTGGGACTGCTGAGGTGTTATGAAAGACCAGGATGCTTCAATAGCGGCCTTCAGCTCTTCTGCATTGTTCGGTCTCATGTCTCTCATCTTTCTCAGGCGAGTTTGCTGGCCAATCAAGCACAGTAATCCCACGGTCATTGAACCAGGCTTTGGTGCTTTTGGCAGCGTGGAAAATAAAGTCAGCATCCCCATAAAGCTCGTCTGCGGAAAGAAGCACGAAGTGCTCCAAAATCTTCTGGTAGATGGCTGCGTTGACCTTGGACTTAATGAAGCACAGTGAACCAACAACAGCAGATGACATGGCTCTCCAAATCAACACTGACTGTGGAAACTTCACACTGGACTTCAAGCATCTTGCAATGTGTGCCTCTCCATTCTTCCTCCAGACTCTGGGTCCTTGGTTTCCAAATGAGATGCAAAAGTTGCTCTCATCAGAAAAGAGGACTTTGGACAACTGAGCAACAGACCAGGTCTGTTTTTCTTTAGCCCAGGTAAGACGCTTCTGACGTTGTTTGTTGTTCAGGAGTGGCTTGACAAGAGGAATACGACATCTGAAGCCCATGTCCAGGATCCATCTGTGTGTGGTGGCTCTTGATGCACTGACTCCAGCCTCAGTCCACTCCTTGTGAAAGTCCCAACACATTTGAATGGTCTTTTCCTGACAATCCTCTCCAGGCTGCGGTCATCCCTGCTGCTTGTGCACCTTTTTCTTCCACATAACTTTCTATTAATGTGCTTTGATACAGCATTTTTGGAACATCCAACTTCCTTCTCAATTACCTTTTGAGGCTTTCCCTCCTTATGGAGGGTGTCAATGATGGTTTTCTTCACAACTGTCAGGTCAGCAGTCTTCCCCATGATTGTGATTCCTACTGAACCAGACTGAGGGACCATTTAAAGGCTCAGAAACCCTTTGCAGGTGTTACTTAGAGTGATTAGAGCTGATTAGAGTGGGACACTGTGAGCCTAGAATATTGCACCTTTTCACAATATTCTAATTTACTGAGATTGTGGATTTGGGGTTTTCATGAGCTGTAAGCCATAATCATCGCACTTATGACAAATCATGGCTTGAACTATCTTGCTTTGCATGTAATGCGTCCATCTCATATATTAGTTTCCCCTTTTATGTTGCATTACTGAAATAAATGAACTTTTGCACAATATTCACATTTTTCCAGTATCACCTGTAGGAGTCGAGGTTAGAGGGAGAATACGTATGGGGAAATAGTATAGACAGCGCAAAGTTGCTTATATATGAGAAGCAATGTTAGAACAAATACATATTTGCTAAATATTGTGAAACAAGCTGCTTGTATATAAATAGCAATTGTGAAACATATATATATATACACAATATTATGACAAGTGAAATACCTATTTTCAATACAAATATATAAAATAGAAACATATATAGCTAAAATATGTGAAAAAATAAAATAAATTAAATAAAACTTAAGATCAAAGCAGAATAAATATACCAATTGGTCCTGGGATATATAAGTTGTCATGGTGTTGAATAAAATGTCTCTAATATGACAATCTGTTAATAGAATTCATGTGAGCAATGCATAGAAGATCAAAGTGAACATTTAGACCGTCTGGTAAAAGAGTTTTTATAAGAAATACCCAGTTCATTTCATTTTTGTCCAAACGTTTTTTTAAATCACCACGTCTCCATGGAGTTTTGCATTTTTTTAATGCCGATACATTTTAAGTATTTCAGATTTTTATTGTGTGTGATGAAATGTTTTGATACAGAGTGGTTAAGGTATCCTTTACTAATGTTACGGCAATGTTCTGCCAATATGATTTTAAGACATCTGTAGGTCATACTCACATATTGAGTACCCGTATGGGCACTCCAGGAGGTATATAAAAATTGTTGTATTGCAGCATATAAAATCCTTAATGGGATAGGTAATATTTGTGTTATTAGAAGTGAAGTGGATGATTTAACCCCTGTGTGTGCTGTTCCAGCTTGCAGGGGATTCAACGGGGAAAGTCCTTGTAAGGACTAGAGCTCCCAGGACTGAGTGTTGTCCAGTGCCTGGGGGTGTCTAGAGCTAATTCCCCATTCGGCTCCAGGAAGGAGTGGTTAAAGGGGCCCAGTCAAGCCACAGCGACTGTGGGCAGAAGTGCTGCGGTTTGTCTGCTGTTCCAGCAAGGACCGCTTCCTAGCTGGAACAGCAGACAAACCGCAGCACTTCTGCCCACAGTCGCTGTGGCTTGACTGGGCCCCTTTAACCACTCCTTCCTGGAGCCGAATGGGGAATTAGCTCTAGACACCCCCAGGCACTGGACAACACTCAGTCCTGGGAGCTCTAGTCCTTACAAGGACTTTCCCTGTTGAATCCCCTGCAAGCTGGAACAGCACACACAGGGGTTAAATCTTCCTTCCCTGCAATAACATGATGACAAACAGTTTTGGAGTGCAAGCTGGAATACTTTAATGACAGCCACAACTGGCCTTATATGCATGTCCCCATGCAAGGGGCACTCCCCCCTGGACCTTGTGGGGGACTAAATACATGACTCTCCCATATACAAGCATACAATCCCTCCCCTCTCCCTGGGAGATAATTGGATCAGTAACTGTACTAATTCTAATCCAATTATCTACAAGCATAGAAAAAAAACCACTTTTTCAAAACACCCCCAAAGTAACCTAAAAATACATAAAACCTGTAAAAAACTAGATGAATGGATGTTAATGTAGACTCTTTCTTAATTTCTTCTTGTCTTCAGTTGATTGATATATATACGTCTTTTGTATATATATTCTTGGGCCAAATGCTCGCCACAATAATATATGTCTATATTATTGAAAAGTAGTAATACGCAATCTGACTTACGGTTTCTTCAGGTTTATTCTTAGTTACGGATACATAAAACATAATATAGGATGTTACAGGATAATGGACATTTAACAGCAGATGGTAATTGCTGTACTTCTGATGGGAGAGTTACATCGTTGTACAGAGCCAAGCCAAGAGTGAGACCGACCTCGTGTCCCTCTGTTACTATCTAGATGTGCTAATACTAACGTCAGCATATAACTCTAGCCATATAAGGACAAGACCCCCACACCCACATTCCAGAGCTCTCGGACAAAGAAAGCCTTGTGACTTATTGATACCATCTGTTACTTATGTCAATCCACACATCCATATATATAATCAATAGAAACATAGAATATGCAATATTCTACAAAACCCCACAAATGTTTAATCCCCTGATAGCCATGATCTGGGTGACCAACATATACAAAAACCACCCAGATCAGTTCAGGGGTTCAGGAATTTCCTGGAAGTCATTTATTTGACCGACCACAGGCATGGTCCCAGAGAATCAGGGCTTGCGGTTGGTCTAGTTCGGTAGTTTGAAAATGAACAAACTACTGAACAGAGTCAATAGTCTTACCCTGGAGCTTGTTGCCCTTATCCAGACAAACTATTTCACAGATCAGTGCCCTTCTAAATTGTATAGAACCGAACCCAGGTGATGATGGAAGTCCAGCGGTGTTCGGGAGTTTCTATGTCCGATTTTAGTTCCATGAGATTAATGCCCAAACACCGCTGCCTATGTTCATGCGAACAAGACGGCCGCCACCTCGTGGTCGTCCATAGGAACTGCGGCCACCCAGACGAACAATCAGAACACTGCGGTGAGAAGCGTTCCAAGTTGTTAATAGGTGTTAACAAGCTCCAGGTTGGTCTCTGGTTCGTCGGTTGTTCGGTAACTGAACCATATACTCCCAATTGCACGAACAGGGTCTTTTTATCATTATATTTCACAAATGTGATGGACCGCATGGCACCCCGACCGGGTGCCTCTGTCAGTCGATGCTCCTAGTGCTTACCGAGGACTCCAAGCACTCCACCATAAGCACTGTAGTCCCCATGTCCAGCGTTACAGCTTGGCTGGGAACTAGTCGTCCTCCACCCACCCTGGACCCAAGACCAGAATCTAGCTTCCAGTGGGTGAACCTCTCCTACTCCAGAGAGCGTAGCAGGAACAGCTCTTAAAAGAGCTAGTGATTATAATATAGTATAATATAGCAATGATATAGCAATCTCCAGGGTAGATACAGCCGTTTCCCCCACACATGAGATGAGACTCTATGTTGAGGGTAAGCAGGAACAAGTTTCCCAACAAGGGTGACACCCACGTGGACCTTGTTGGGCACAGGGACACAAGTTAACAAACCAATAAAAACTGCATTATACAGTGAGACACTCCCATACAGTAAACACAATCCCTCCCCTCTGCATTTGAGATAATTAAGGCAGATAATGCATTAACTTAATTATCTCCAGGCAGAAAAAACAAGTTTTTTCTAAAGTCCCATAAGTACCCCAAAACACTATACATCCCCTGATAGCCCTGATCTGGGTGAACAACATAGTCATTTGCAATGTTCAATTCTCATATATGCTATTATTCCTCATGGAAAATGTTGTACAGCGGTACAAAATAGATTAAAAATAGACAAAAACATCCCAGATGAACAAATCAATTTTATTATAGAAGGCATAAATATAATTTTAACCAACAATAATTTTTGTTCTTTAGATTCTTTTTATATACACAAACAAGGAACAACAATGGGAACCACGTTTGCCCCTAGTTATGCTAATCTTTTTATGGATGACTGGGAGTCCTTGGCAATCTGGGGCGACCACCCCTGGAGGGCAAACCTGGTTACCCATTTTAGATATATTGATGACCTGTTTTTTATCTTGAATTGTTCTGAAGATTCTTTAAAATGGTTTTTAAATCATCTTAACATAAACAACAATGGCATTGTTTTAACTTCAGAATACAGTAAGGAAGTTACACATTTTTTAGATATTCAAATTTTTATTCATAACGGATTTATTAATACTAAAACATTTTTTAGAAAAGTATGTACCAATACAGTTATTGTCAAATCTAGTTGTCACCAACAGCCAAGGCTAGATGAAATTACCAAAAGTCAATCTTTATGCCTTTGCAGAAACTGCTCCCTTATAACAGACTTTGAAGACCAATCTAATACTCTTAAAGATAAATTTGTCAACAAAAAATACCCTTTAGAAAATCTTAATAAGTCTTTAGAATTTATCAAACAGAAGAACAGAAAAGACATTTTAATATAAAAAGACAGAAATAATCAAATCCTCCCCCCTTTTATGCCAGTCATCTTTAATTTCAACAACAAAAGTAAGACCGTAGCGGAATGGGTTTCAACACCGTACCTTCCTTTTGTTAAGGGCAATCCACCCATCCCTTTTGTTGCGTTATTTCATATACTATCCCTGCTGGTTACTTGTGGAAACAAGTAACAATATAATATTGGCTATCGTTCGTCTTGTTCGATAAGAATCCTGTTTCAGCTATGTTTCACTATATGGTTTGGCAAACAAATGAACTACCGAACAACCAGGCCACCCAGGAGAGGAGCGTGGCATCAATTGACCTCCCTGACTTGGTTCACACTTTCTCAATTGCCAACCGCACAAACCAACGTGTGTTCCCTGGGTGGCCGCCGTTCGTCATGCGAACACGTGGTGGTGGCCATCTTAGCATACGAATTACACCATCGTGTTTGGTCATCGAGTGTCTGGAACCTAAATTGGACACACGACGGCACGAACACCGCAGAGACTTCCATCCTTGTATAAGTTCGTAGGAACTCAAGGGAACAGAGCGGCATTCAGTAAAAAGAATCATACGAACGAGAGAAATGAAACGAACAAAGACACAAACCATTTTGTTATAACTTCCCGAAAAGAGACCGACCGCACAGTCAAAACCCATGGAACTATTCTTTGCTTACACCTCATGTGCGGTCGGTAAAATCTGAGCTCACAAAGGAACAAGCACCAGGAGTCAGCAGCGCCAATGGACCGTGGATGGAGATCGACGACTCCATCCTCAAGCGGTCTACACTAAAAGATCTCCTAGATGCAAGAGGCATCCAAGCAAGTAACAAGAAAAAGGCTTGTGATGGCAGAATACCGAAGTGATGGCAGAATACCGGATGGATAGTAGTTCGGCTCCTGAACGAAGCGGTTCGGCAAACAAACGGGAACAGTCGGCTATCCATTTATGGGGAGAACCCACCCACAGAGATCATTGTCCGCACCATGACAGAGGTGCAGGAATTCATGCTGCAGCAGAGAGATCGGCAAGTACCACAGACAATACCAGCAGTAACTATAGTGCCAGAGGGTAAGCCCAAAATCCCATATCAAGCATTTAAGAACTATGTAGAAGCTGAGGAAGATATTGATGCATTCCTCCAAGATTTTGAAAGACAATATGCCCTACATAAGATTGACATTGAGGAATGGGTGCCCTTATTGGCAAGTAGACTATCTGGAAGGGCAGCTGAAGCATACCACACTCTCCCAGATGAATAAATCAGGAACTATGCCCGAGTAAAAGAGGTCATATTGGCCCGGTATGCTATTACCCCAGAGGCATACCGAAAACGGTTCAGAGACCTCAAGAAAACAGAGAAAGACTTGCATGTGGAATGGGCCTGCAGGCTACACAGAACTGCGCTAGGATGGGTACAAGCACGCAAAGCCCACACCCTAGAATATTTATTGCAGTTAGTCCTGCTGGAACAGTTCTTCAACGGGCTGGCACCAGACATCGAGGAGTGGGTTAGAGACCAGAATCCCACCTCCCTCACAGAGGCAGCCAGAGGCCTCCTCAACCGCCCTCTCACAGGACCAATGGGTCCCACAGCACCACAGAGGCAGTTCCCACCACCTACTGCCCCACAGCCCAGGTTCCAGCCATTCAGCCATCCAGTGCCATAACTATAAAAAGTGGGGTCATTTTAAAAGAGACTGTCCCCAGAACAGAGACCGAGCAATCTGGATCCGACCGGGTCCACCACCACCACCGCGTGCAGCCGCTTATTATTACCAAGCAGAAGCACCAATCTCCTATACCAACCCAGTGCCAGTTCCAGATGGTGGAGGTGGGGTTGATGCTTAACTTACCAGCTGAAGTTTTGTTAGGGAATGACTTGGGGAAGCTCACCTCTGCATTTGCGCTACAAGCAACACCAGGAGAAGCGTATCCAGTGGTTACCAAGACCAAAGCTCACACCCGGAGGTTCAGGTAAGAGACCAAAACCCATCTCTAGAGTGTTTGCCCTGGGCTGCGCCCACTGAGTTTGAAGCAGAGGTGATCACAGACCCCACGCTACAGATTTATAGAGACAGAGTCACCTCAGACCAACCAGGAATAGAGGGGGAAAGATTTGTGTGGGACAAAAAGTTACTATACAGGGAATCAGAGAAGCTAGTAGCAATGGTACAGACAAGAGTTACTCCGGATAGCACACGATATCCTGCTATCTGGACATTTAGGGGTAAGTCGCACCCGATACCGGCTTACCGAAAATTTATTTTGGCCTGGGGTCAGTCAGGAAGTCAGGAGGTACTGCCAGACATGTGATACCTGCCAGAGGGTGGGCAAGAGGGGAGATTGCAGGAAAGCTTAGCTTCATCCCCAACCCATAATTGAAGAGCCCTTTAGCCGAATAGCAATGGAAATAGTGTGGCCATTAGCGAAGCCCAGCCCCTCCGGCAAGAAATATCTTGACAGTGGTGGACTATGCTACCAGGTATCCAGAGGTGGTGGCCCTAACAAAAATCAATGCTGAAACTATCGCCAAGGCCCTCATGCAAACTTTCTCCCAAATGGGTTTACCCGGGAGATAATTTCAGATAGGGGTACTCAATTCACGGCAGACATTACCCACCACCTCTGGAGGATCTGTGGCATTAAGCCTATGGTGAGCGCCCCCTATCACCCTCAAACCAATGGGCTATGTGAACACTTTAATGAAACATTGAAACAGATGCTCCAAACGTTCCCAGAGACCCGCCGGGATTGGGAGCGGTTCCTGCCGCTTTTCCTGTTCGCATATCAGGAGGTGCAGAAGGGAATCCTCAGGATTCTCCCTCTTTAAGCTACTATTCGGGAGACGGGTAAGGGGACCCTTAGATGTTATCCAGGAACACTGGGAGGGAGAACGTAGCCAGGATGGTACCCCCATCATGCCATATGTGCTGGAGTTCAGGAGTTGACTAGAACAGTACGGGAGAACCTTCAGGCGGCCCAACAGCGCCAGCGCACATGGTACGATTGGGGAGCCAGGGACCGTAGGTGGGACAGAAGGTTATAGTTTTAAAATCTGTCCGACATGACAAGCTACAGGCTGCCTGGCAAGGCCCATACAAGGTGGTGGAGCAGATATGCGACATCACTTATGTGATCGGACCGTGCTCTGGATCGGGAGGGCGACGCATGCTCCATGTGAACATGCTGAAGCCCTACCACGAGTGCTCAAAGGAAGTGACAGCTATCTGTGCCCCTGCCTCTGAAGACTTTGACAAGCTTCCCCTACCAGATCCCTTAGGGGATAGGAGCCAATCTAGTGAGATAGAAGAGGTCGAGTTGGGAGATCTGCTGAGCCCACAGGAGGTACAACAACTCTTAAGAGAGAAGAAAGACACCATCTCCAATGTACCTGGATACACTCCTTTGGCAACTCACCGGGTAGAGACACCAGGTCAACTCCCTATGCGCCAGACCCCCTACCGAATCCCTGAGTTGGTACGGAAGAACATGTGCAAGGAGATCCAAGAGATGCTCCAACTGAGCCTTCTGACAGCCCCTGGGCCTCTCCTATAGTCCTCGTACCCAAACGGGACGGTACGACCCAGTTCTGCGTGGACTACCGGAGGTTGAATGATAAAACAGTGTCAGATGTGTATCCCATGCATAGGATAGATGAGCTGTTAGACAGGATGGCCCAGGGCCAATACCTCACTACAACTGATCTTTGTAAAAGGTATTGGCAGATCCCCTGGCCCCTGAAGCCATTCCGAAGTCAGCGTCAGGCCATTTGGCCTATACCAGTTTAAGGTAATGCTGTTTGGGATGAAAAACGCTCCAACTACTTTCCAAAGAATGGTGGACTGCCTCCTACATGGGTTCCAAGACTACACCTGCGCCTATTTTTTAGCAATACCTGGCAGGAGCACTTGACCCATATAGGAGCGGTCCTAGACAGAATTAGAGAAGCCGGCTTGACTCTAAAGCCGGCTAAGTATAACATAGGTGCAGTACCTTGGGCACAGAGTGGGATGCGGGAAGCAGAAGCCTGAGCCCGCTAAAGTAGAAGCCGTGGCCCAGTAAGTGTTAGTATTTTTAGGGACAGCAAGGTACTACCGGAAATTTGTGCCCAATTATAGTGCCCTGGCTAAACCCCTTACTGACCTCACCCGCAGAAACCTCCCCCGCCAAGTCGCCTGAACTCCGGAGTGTGAACAGGCATTCCAACACTTGAAGAATGCCCTTGTAAATGCCCATGTATTGGCTGTTTCCAATCCAACTAAACATTTTCTTATTCCCACAGACACTTCTATGTTTGGATTGAGGGCAGTACTGAGCCACGTGGGAGCCGATAGCGAGAACATCCTGTGGCTTACATCAGTCGGAAGCTGTTACCTAGAGAAGTAAGCTACACCGCCATCGAGAAGGAATGCCTGGCCGTTGTGTGGGCCCTCAAAAAGTTGCAGCCGTATGTTTATGTACAGCCCTTCTCCTTGCTTATGGATCACAACCCGTTGGTCTGGCTGAACCGGGTGACAGGGGACAACACGAGGCTGCTGCGCTGGAGTTTGGCGCTGCAGCCATTTGACTTCATGATACAGTACCGCCCGGGGAAGCAGAATGGAAATGCAGATGGGTTGTCAAGGCAAACTGAAGCACTCTGTATCAAAAGATTTCATCACACACAATAAAAATTCTAAATACTTAAAATGTATTGGCATTAAAAAATGCAAAACTCCATGGAGACGTGGTGATTTTAAAAAACGTTTGGACAAAAACGAAATGAACTGGGTATTTCTTATAAAAACTCTTTTACCAGACGGTCTAAATGTTCACTTTGATCTTCTATGCATTGCTCACATGAATTGTATTAACAGATTGTCATATTAGAGACATTTTATTCAACACCATGACAACTTATATATCCCAGGACCAATTGGTATATTTATTCTTTTATCTTAAGTTTTATTTAATTTATTTTATAATTATATTTTTTCACATATTTTAGCTATATATGTTTCTATTTTATATATTTGTATAAATATTGTCATAATATTGTGTATATATGTATTTGTTTCACAATTGCTATTTATATACACAATTTCACAATATTCTGCAAATATGTATTTGTTCTAACATTGCTTCTCATATATAAGCAACTTTGTATTCTCCCTCTACGTATTCTCCCTCTACATACGGGCACTGGTGCATCCCTTCGTGCATGGGCTAGCCGCCCTCCACTCCACTCTTCTGGCCGGTCTCATCTTGGCAGCCTCTGCCAGTTCAGGGGATCGACTTGAGCCGAGGTTGGAGGCTTCTGGGTGGGTACAGTCCCTGCGTGGCCAGGATAACCCCCACCGGCCGGTGGGGGAAGCGGGGCCATGCCCTGAGCCGGCTCTGCTCTCTGCCTTGTGATTTCTGGGTATTTGTCTGCTGCTGCGTCTTGCTCACATGCCGCTGGTGTATGGAGGCAGGTAGGCCAGGTGTGTCGGTTTCGGTGCTCCCGGTGCATTGTCGGCCTCTTGTGTGGTGTTGAAATGGAGCTGGGGCGATTCTCTGTCTTGATGTTTAGATATCTCCGGCTTTGGAGACGTGCATATGCTGTGCTGGTTTTTGGGGCTGGTTTTTGGGGCTCGAGCTTGGAGCTATGTTGGTCTGCTGTCATGCGGCCCGGCGGCCCGGCCCGGCCCCCCTTTTTATCTTATTTTAATACTTTTTTACCTGGCTTCTGAGTTTTTATCATGTACCAGTGAGACATTACTCCAAAGAATCCAAGGTGGGGATTATACCACTCAAGCCCTATACATTGAGCAGTCCGCCTGCTCGTGGAAATGTGAGTAACCACTTTATATTATATTTCCGTACTCCTGATTTTTAAATAGAGAGCACTATTGCTTTTCCTTTTATATTTCATATGACCCTCCTTCAGACAAGACACTATCTCACGTATCCTACAAGTGGGGATTATACCACTGAATGCACTTCGTACTAGAGCTAGTTACTTAGCTCTTAAAAATGTAAATAGGATCATATCAGACTTTTTACCAGCTGCTACCTGATTGTTGAATATATTGCACCATTAGTAGGCATGTGCATGGGAAAAATATTCAGTTCGGTTCAGCATTCGGAAATTTGGAACTTCCGAACTTCAGAAGTTCAGAACTTCAGAACTTTGGGTAAGTGTAGGGTTAGGGTAGGGTTAGGAATAGGGTTAGGGTTACCCTACCCTAACCATACCCCTACCCCTACCCTAACCCAACCACTAACCCTACTCCAACCCCTGACCCTACCCCAGCCCTTAACCCTACCCCAACCACTAACCCTACCCTTACCCTTAACCCTACCCCTTCCCCAACCACTACCCCAACCCTTAACCCTAACCCTACCCCTAAACCTAACCCTACCCCTAACCCTACCTCTACCCCAACCACTAACCCTACCCCAACCCTCTCCTGTTTTGCCACTTTTCAGAAATCCAAAGCACTTTGGCACTTCTGAAATTCGGCACTTCAGCAATTCGGTTCGGCACTTCAGAAATTCGGCAGTTCAGCACTTCGGAAGCATCCAAATGTCCGTATTTCCGAAATTCGTCTGAATTTGCATTCGGACCAAAAGGAATTGCACATGTCTAACTATTAGTTGTTTCTTTTATCTCCACATACGGACTTTAAGAACATCCTTACCTCATAGTGCGGATTCCCCTTCATAGAATTATCGTTTGCTTTAACATCCAGTATTCAAAAGGTTTTCCCGAACTCTACCTCTGGAACTCTCTTTTTTACTTTATTTATACATTTTTTTATTTTTCTATATTATATATTTGTTTTATCTGTTTTTAGTACTTATTCACTGGCGGGGTACCATGTTTTCCACTGCTTTGTCTACTTGTAGGGCCTGTGAGGAGCCTTACTGTTCAGGTCTGCTACCCTGTTATTTGCTCTTTTTCCTGACCCCTTACTACTTCTCATAAAGAAACATGACTGAACAATGTTTGCTGGCCTACAATGGAGGTAATACAAAGAGACAGTAAACCTTCACAAAAAAAAAAAAACATGAAGGTAGTGATGTATGTGTTCTAACATACACTCTAAAAGGAAGGACTTACCCATGGATATCTGAAATATATAATGTTCACATAGGAGGTATGGATCCTGCCCCCATTCCTTAGAAGAGACACTGTATAGGGTTGATAGAAGGGACACTGTGTAAGGACGATTAGAGGGGACACTATGTAGAGTAGATAGAGGGGACACTGTGTAGAGTAGAAATGTGGACACTGTGTAGGGTCAATAGAGGGGACACTGTGTAGAGTTAATAGCGTGGACGCTGTATAAGGTCGATAGAGGGGACACTGTAGATAGAGTAGGACTGTGGGGAACAGAACCTCGCCACTGGTTATTGGAGGGGCCTGCTCATCAGCCTCTTGCCCCAGGACTATGGCCCCTGCAATAGACCTGGCTAAAATACATTAAAAAGACTCTGTTAATGCAATTGGGGTATATGGTTCAGTTACCAAACAACCGCACGAACCAGAGACCACCCTGGAGCTTGTTAACACCTATTAACAACGTGGAACGTTTCTCACCGCAGTGTTCTAATTGTTCATCTGGGTGGACGCAATTCCTATGGACATATAGATTCCTTTGATTTTCACAGTGAGAAGCACACAAGTGCCTCTAGCGGCTGTCAAGAGATTAACCCTAACATAAACATAGCAGTTTCTCTGAAACTGCTATGTTTATAAAAAAAAAAGGGTTAACCCTAGCTGGACCTAGCACCCAGACCACTTCATTAAGCTGAAGTGGTCTGGGTGCCTATAGTGGTCCTTTAATGGTTCTTATATACACATTTTTACACAATGTTACCACCCACATGGTTTTGTAGCACAGCCAATCAAATACACTAAAAACAGTTAAATACTCCCATTCATTCCCAGGAAAATACAGTTTTTATACAATTATTATAACTTCTAAAATATCCATCCAATCTCCCGTTACATATTAATAATCAGCACACTTCAAATATACACATATCCAAAAATCAGACAATTCCCTTCAGTGGTTGAAAAGTTAGTTGGAAGCCCTATTTGACCGACTGCAAGCATGGCTTTCCTGCCCAAAACTGTTCCACAGATTCAGGCTGTGCAGCCGGCCAATCTGCTCCTCTATCCTGGAGATAATTGGCTTAAGTAACTGTAGCAAACTCAATTGTCTCCTGGTACAGAAAATATCACAACTGCAACAAAACACATTAAAATACATAACTAATATTCTATAGAACTGAACCCCCACATTTGGGGGGTCCCCAGATAGCTTCTGAGTGCCCACTAAAGCTGAACAGCGCTCAGATCCCACAAACACAGTCAAATCGCCATGGGGTTAAACCATAGCAAGGGCTGATGAGAGACCGAGGAGGAACAAAGCAGCCAATCCAATTATCTCCAAGTACAGAAAAACAAACTGGTCTGGCAGTGTTCCTGGGACAACACCCTGCTGGAGAACAATGGGACAGGAAATGGGGGAGGGGAGGAGGCACACCTTCCCATGGATTCAAAGGGGCAGAAAAAGTGTCCCAAAATCCAATAAACCCAAATAATCGTTTCCAAAAGGTAATACCTCCAGGGGCCATAGTCCTGGGTAAGAAGCTGGCAAACAGGCCCCTCCAAAAACCAGTGGCGAGGTAATTTTGCCACACTAACTGTTCGGTAGTTTGTTCGTTTGTTCGTTTTCAAACTACTAAACTAGACCGACCACAAGCCCTGATTCTCTGGAACTGTTCTGGGCATGGACCAGGTTGATCAAATAAATGACTTCCAGGAAATTCCTGAGCTGATCTGGGTGATTTATGTTGGTCACCCAGATCAGGGCTTTCAGGGGATGTAACTTTTGTGGGGTTTTATATGTTTTTTGGGGTACTTTTGGAATGTTTGGGAAAAAGTTTGTTTTTCTGTACTTGGAGATAATTGGATTAGATTAGTATAGTTCCTGATCCAGTTATCTTCCAGGCCCAGAGGAGGGAATATATGTATGGGAGTGTCATGTATTGTAACACTGTTGTCATTGGCCTGTGACTTTGCAATTCTATCTAGACTACTTGAATGACTACTTGGAATGCTGTAACACAACTCACACTTGGGGGAAGGACGTCTCTGGTGGTGGAAACCCCTCTACTCACCGGGGTGACCGCTACAGATATATTAACTTAACACACAAATTATAGAACCAGCGTGCTATAGGCTTTTTCTGAAGGATGCAGAGGGTTGGCCGGCCATATACAACACTGACTTGACTGGCAGACCTAATAGATGATCCAGCGATTCCTACAATGAATGCAAGGTCCTGGTATTGTGACGTCACACACAACAACGGTTCACAAGCCACTGAGTGCAGTCACACAAGCTGCAATAATGTGACAGGAAGGGGGCGCCATCAGATCCTGCCCAATGGTTGCTTAAGAACACAGTAAACATTCAGATTTTTACATTGCAGTTAAAGCGGTTCTGTCATTTAAATTAATCTATTGTTCTTCTACTTTTCATTGTTTTTATTGTGTTGAAATTTGCCTTATTGTTTTTAGTGTTATATTAATAAGATAAGTAGGGATTATTCTGTCTGATGGGGAGCATGATCTTTTCTTTTGCAGTTTTTGGAAATGGGCAGTTTAGTTTAATGTAATCACTGTTACATTTCCTCACTGATTCGTAGGTATGCCCCTTCTCGGTCTCTCCGCTCTGCCGGTGACATTCTCCTGTCCGTTGCTCACACCATTCCTGCTAACCCGAACACGGGTGGCTCCCTTACTCTGTACCAGCCTGCCTACCCCCATCAGACTATCCCCTAGTCTTCAAACATTTAAGAAGTCCATCAAAACCCATCTGTTCAGAAATGCTTATGGACAAGAGTAACTTCTACTTCACATACCTGTCTCTTGCTCTCTCCTAAAGAGCTACACTACACTCTCACCTTCTGCTACTTTCCCACCTTGTTTGGTGGCTGTCACCCTTGCTGCCCTATTGTGTTTTTATACCCCAACTCCTCTAGACTGTAAGCAGATTTGAGCAGGGTCCTCTTAAACTTATTGTTCCTGTAACATTTTGTAATTGTCCCATTTATTGTTACATTTATCCCTGTTATAATACTGTGGAATTAGCTGGGGCTATATAAATGGCAATAATAATAACCGACTGGTTACCTCCGCTAATTCCCTTCCTTCAGCCGTTCAGGAACCATTTCAGAATATCAAGAGACCCACTTCCCCCCAGTAACTGGATGACACACAGATCTGGAGGCACAACACAATTTTATTGAGCCACACACGGCTTTTATGCATAGCCCCATGCAAGGGGTCGTTAACTCACACAAACAGGGGTCGTATCGCAGGATCCTCTACACCAGGGAGCCCAAGCGCGGGAAGCGGAGGTCGCTGTCCCTTTGTCTCCCAAATATGGAAAGCCTGCCACTCAGATAAGGGGTCTCCCACCCAGGCAATCCTCATCCCATGAGCCTCTGTACCTGGGAGCCAAAGCACGGGAAGAGAGTCCATGCCTTTGTCTCCCAAGCACAGAAAAGCCCACAAAAATCATCAGTGCCCCAAAAGTGTCCCCACCAACCTCAGGCGACCTCACTATGGCCCATTCTCTGATCAATCTCATTTCGTGAGGTTCCTGTGCTGAAACCTGCAGGGGAAGCGTCTCCTTTCAGGGTACGATTGCTCCCCTTGGTTGGTGTTTGTCTATACGAAATGGCGGCCACCAAGGGTAGCATTCATTCATTACTTCCCTTGCAGTTTCACACTTATGTTGCCAGTGCGAATGTTCTAATTAATGGGTGGGAGCATTCCAATGGGGCACTGGGGTGGTCCTTGTTCAGGAGATGAACAAATGGTGAAACAATCCACTAATGCTTTCGTCTATGCGAAATGGCGACCACCCAAGGGAGCACTCATTCATTGTTTCCCTTGCGGTTTCGCAACTATGTCCAAGGTGAGAACGTTCTACTGGAACGTTCTAACTAGCGTTGTAAACGGGATATCGGGGTGGTCCCCGTTTGGGAGTCAAAAGAGTTCCTCTCACCTGGGCACTCCCGAACAGGGAGTGGGTACAATATATGAAACACAGGGAAAAAACACACAATATAGAAGGAACTCCACAAATAGGCAGTGGTTCTGCCACAATAATTTTCCCATAATCAGTCAAAAAGGCAAATTGCTGACATCATGAACAGAGGAGAACAAAATGGAGATAAATAACGCAAAGAGTTGAGAATAATAAT